GGGAATATATCATTTCAATATGACATAGCAGGGAATATATCATTTCAATATGAAACTGGAGGGAATATATCATTTCAATATGAAACTGGAGGGAATATATCATTTCAATATGACATAGCAGGGAATATATCATTTCTATTTGATACTGGAGGAATATAAGTTAATTTCTTATTTTTGTAGCTTTATAGTTTCTAGTCATGTTGTATTTTGTATATCTTAGTTTTAGTTTTTTAGCTCCACTGTCATCACTGGACGCATCCCGCGTCCAGTGTCCCGCATGAACTTCTTCTTCAAAAGTACTGGACCAATTACATTCATATTTGTACCAAAGGTACTTAGGGTGGCCCTCTGTCAGATTTGTTAAATTCATGTCAAAATATGCAAATTTGGATTTTGAGTGAATATTTTTGTCATTTTTGGTAAAATTTTTTATTTTCGACAACTAGTCCGAAACCATAAGTCCAAATGCTTTCATATTTCCAGCAATGATATGTGGAGTGGTCCACTGTCAGATTTGTTAAATTTCTGTCAAAATATGCAAATTTGGATTTTTAGTGAATATTTTTGTCATTTTTGTAAAAAATGTTAATATTTTCGACAACTAGTCCTAAACCGTAAGTCCAATTGCTTTCATATTTGCAGCAACGATACGTCGGGTGGTCCGTCCTCTGTCAGATTTGTGTCAAAATATGCAAATTTGGACTTTTAGTGAATATTTTTGTCATTTTTGGTAAATTTTTTTATTTTCGACAACTAGTCCTAAATCGTAAGTCCAATTGCTTTCATATTTGCAGCAAGGATACGTGGGGTGGTCCTCCGTCAGATTTGTTAAATTTCCGACAACAAGTCCGAAACCGTCAACCAAAATGCCACTTTACTGAATCTTATTCTATGATAATGAAGACAGCGGAGCTATTTCTACTTGTTTAAAAGACTACACTGCCTACCTTTCTGCATCAGTGTTTATTCAATAAATACTTAAACTATTGATTATCACAGGGATAGAGGGACTAATATTCTTTTCTCCTGGCTTTCCATCACTACCTATAAATAATGACAATTCAGAAAAAAAATTATTAAGTCCATTTTAGATAAAGTAGGAAAGTGAGGGGCAATGCGTTTGTCAGTGCATCTCAATATGGACCTCCATTGTTTGTTTTGCAGATAGGATTCAAAATGCTGGATTGGTACTCATTGTGTATCAACAAATGCTGTTCTGAAGCTTTATCTCTAAAACATGCCTTGACCGATAATATTCAAACTTTTTTTTATTCCTTTCCGAGAAAGTCCGAAAACCAGACGTAGGGATTGGCCTCTGTGCATGTGTCACATATGCTTGGCCCTATTTAATTCAAAATTCGCATACATCAGACGTTATATGGGACATATTTACATGCAATTGGTTCATAACCAATTCAAGATGGCCAAATGGCAGCCATTTTTAAGCTAAAAATGCATCAAAATCACACATTTTCAACATTCCAAAACTGGAAGTTTAAACTTCACGAATACATTAAAAATCAGACAAATGCAGGTGTATTTTTGTCACATCAAACTCAAAATGGTTGGCTGACTGGTGATCATAAAACGATTGCAGTTCCATGGAGTTCCATGTACATGTCAGTAATGTGATATCTATGAAAAAACAAGGACTGTGTCATTTGACAATGACTTGTTACAAATATTTGAGTATTAAATGTGACAAGCTCTCTGTGAAGAGTTTGCGATGATAAACAATCACAGTTTCACTTATTCTGAGATATTTAGAGTCCATACACTTAGTTACCAACACAGTGATATATTTTGCAGTAAACTGGAACATTATAAATTGCAAAATTAGGGAATAATAGTTTACTTTCCAGTAATGAATCATAATCTAAAGCATCCAACTGTGGTGAAATGTATTTTGATAGTGTTTCTAAAAAGACATATCTAGATGAAATTTCAGGGACTGACTGGGCAGAATTTGACCAGCCCAATAATACTTATTGATACTCCCAGAAAGGAAATTGTCGCATGTTTTGTTCACATTTATTTAAAATGTTGATTCCAGTTTTAATGTGAAATCACTGTCGTGAGAGAAATGTACTACCTAGAGTAGGTTCAATTTTGAAGCTGTCTATTTTAATAATAATTTACTTGAAAAATGAGGCTAAAACTGGAAATGTGTGGTACTATAGATACTTTCGGGGCTTGTCAATAGCCATTCAGGCAGGTCAATTGACTCGTCCTCAACTTTAGGAGTATAAATTATTTATTGTAATTTATTTATTTTCTATTTAGAAATCTTTTAGATCTACCATGGGATGACATTCTTGTTGGACGCATAATTCCATTTCTCAGCCTATCCGAGATATTTCAACTACAGCTAGTCAGCAAATTATCACTACAACTGATCAGACACTATTTCTCAAAATGTTCCATATTGGATTTCTCAGAAGTTGCTCACAAAGTGAAAGAAGCCATGTTCCATCGTGCAGTGGAGAATTCTGTATGTTTAAGGGTACTGATACTAAAAAACTGTAAAGATTTTCTAAAAGATGAAAACTTCATACCAGTTGTAGAGCAGAACCCTCAGCTTCAGAAGATTGACTTGACTGGATGTTTGAGTCTGACAAGTCAGAGTATACAGGCTATTGCAAACAGTTGTCCAGCACTGCATTACATTTCTGTGCATGGATGCCACTGGGTGCAGGCTCCAGCTTTGGCTGTCCTCGCAATGAACTGTGAGTGTCTACAATATGTTGACTTGACAAGCTGCTGGGAACTTGATGATGAAACTATCTTGGTATTAATAATATCTCATCCTGGACTGAAATATCTTTCTTTAGCAAAAATATATGGCATAACAAATGTTGTAATCGACATGCTGGCAAGAACTTGTTCTGCTTTTGAACATCTTAATATTCAGGGTTGTTGGAGGATTACAAATTCAGTCATACGGTAAGTTTTATTTTAAGCTTTATTCACAAATAGAGGCACTGTGCTTTATTATTCCCCATTCAGGTGCAGCCTGGAAAAGGGACTACTAATTCGGGTTTTTAATTTACCGTCTTCAAAATTGTTTCAGAAATTCTGCAGCAGATATCAATGAAAGCAGGTTGATGAACAATAATCTTTTGACCATGCAACAATTTTTTTTCCAGATCTGAAAATCCTAAGTGGATATTTTTCATGATTTTCATCAAAAATTACCTCTCCCAGCAACATTGACAGAACAACTGCGCATACTCAGAATAAATTAATTACTGTAAAATACTTTATTTTCGCTGAAGGAATGATTTAGTTAAAATAGAATCCAGAGAGTATACCTTTTTAGTTCCCGTTCGGACGCAGTCCGAAAACGGGGACTTATGTTTTGACCTCCGTGTGTGCATGCGTCCGGACCTGTATCTTAGAAATGCCTTGACCAATCACAATAAAACTTTACACATACATCACACATGATATTATACATATGCACATCAATTTGTTTCACGATTTGATTCAAGATGGCCGAATAACGGCCATTTTTGTGCTAAAATCATCAAAATCAAGCATTTCTCGGCTGTTTACTGATGGGTTTTGTTCAAACTTGGTATATACATTAGACATTATAGGACCTTGATGCACATCATTTTGTTTTACGATCTTGATTCAAAATGGCCGAATGGCGGCCATTTTTGTGCTAAAAATCATCAAAATC